AAAAAAAAAAAACACACCAAAACTAAAACTTTGGGGTTTCAAAGGACACTGTCATGAAAATGATAAGAATTATTTACAGGTGTGGCACCTGTGGCTCAGGGAGTAGGGCGCCAGTCCCATATACCGAGGGTGGTGGGTTCAAACCTAGCCCTGGCCAAAACTACCACAATAACAACAAAAAATAAAATTCAATTAAAAAAAAAAAAGAATTATTTACAAATAAGGGTCCAGTATCCCAGATATATGAAAAACTCTTACAGTTCAACAACAAAAAGACAAGCCAATTTTTTAAAGGACAAAGGATTGAAAACATTTTTTCCAAAGACACACAAATGGCCAATAAACATATGGGAAGAGGCACAACATCAGTAGTCATTAGGGAAATGTACTCAAAATCATAACGAAATACTACTTCACACCCACAGGTCATCTACAATGAAAAAAAACAGACAAGAAAAGTGTTAGCAAGGACGTGGGAAAATTATAACCAATACATTATTGATGGAAATATAAAATGGTATAGTAATTTCGGAAAACATTTTGACAGTTCTTCAAAAAGTCAAACATGGAGTTATCGTATTACCCAGCTTTCACTTCGGGGTATATAACCAACAAAAATGAAACTCTAAGTTCACACAAAAATGTACACACAAATGTTCATAGCAGCACTATTCCCAAAAGCCCATCAACTGATAACGGATAAACATAATATGGGCTGGATATAGTTGCTCACACCTGTAATCCTGGCACTATGGGAAGCCAAGGCAGGTGGATTGCTTGAGCTCAAGAGTTCAAGACCAGCCTGAGCAAGAATAAGACCCCATTCTCTACTAAAATAGAAAAATTAGTTGGGTGTTATGGTGGGCACTTGTAGTCCCAGCTACGTGGGAGACTGAGGCAAGAGAATCACTTGAGCCTAAGAGTTTAAGGTTGCTGTGAGTTATGATGCCGTGACACTCTACCCAAGGTGACAAAGTGAGGTGCCTGTGGCTCGGTGAGTAGGGCGCTGGCCCCATATACTGAGGGTGGCAGGTTCAAACCTGGCCCCAGCCAAACTGCAACAAAAAATAGCCGGGCATTGTGCTGGGCATCTGTCATCCCAGCTACTCAGGAGGCTGAAGTAAGAGAATCGCTTAAGTCCAAGAGCTGGAGGTTGCTGTGACACCACAGCACTCTACCAAGGGCTACAAAGTAAAACTCTGTCTCTAAAAACCAAACAAACAAACAAACAAACAAAAAACTCAAAAACTCAATGTGGTACATCCAAATGATATATTATTACTTAGTCATACCTTTGTGAATATACTAAAAACTACTTAATTGTGTACTTTAAAAGCATTAATTTTATGGTATGTGAATTATATCTCAATTAAAAGCAATCCACAGCAAAGACAAATAGGGTTTCCTATCCGATGTCAGCAATACCAGAGGTGGAATATATTGAAACAATTTCAGGGAGGACACTGATGAGTCTACAGAGTCTATAAAGGTTAAGAGAAATATTCCCTTAAGATCTCCCAGCCTAGGGAAAAGGCTGACAGATCTTTTAGGCCCTATTTGTTCAAATCCAAATGATGATCAATCCACTAATTCTCAACTTTGGGCAAGTACCCAAAGGACATTTGGCAATGTCTGAAGACATTTTTAGATGCTGCAGCTAGATTGAGAAATGCTCCAGCATCTAGTGAGTAGAGGCCGGGATGCTGCTGAACAACCCGCACAGGACAGTCCCTTGCAGCAAAAGATCATTAAGTCCAAAATATTAGCAGTGCCATAGTTGAGAAACCCTGGTATAATCTAATTATGGGTCCAATTACTATTTTAAATCCTTGTCTTCCAGCTCGGCGCCTGTAGCTCAAGAAGCTAAGACACCAGGAACATACAGCTGAGCTGGCGGGTTTGAATCCAGCCCGGGCCTGCCAAATAACAATGACAACTACAACTAAAAAATAGTCGGGTATTGTGGCAGTTGCCTGTAGTCCCAGCTACTCGGGAGGCTGAGGCAAGAGAATCGCTTAAGCCCAGGAGTTAGACGTTGCTGTGAACTGTGATGCCACAGCACTCTACCCAGGGCGAGAGCTTGAGACTCTGTCTCAAAAAAAATAAAAAAATAAATCCTTGTCTTCCTGATGACTGTTTAAAATTAAAAAACAAACAATTTAAAATCCTTGAATTTATATAACTGTTGACAACAGTGACAACAAATATGTCCAAATTGCTTCAAGTAGTAGAGCAAGCCTCTAACCAGAACTAGGGATGTAGCTGGCTCTGGACCCATCTCAAACAAACCAGTCTCAAAAGAATGGTAGAGGCTGGGCATGGTGGTTCATGCCTATAATCCCAGCATCTTGGGAGGCCCAGATGGGAAGATCATTTGAGGCCAGGAGTTTTGAGACCAGCCTGGGCAACACAGGGAAACTTCACCTGTACAAAAAATTAAGAAATTAGGTAGGCATGGTGGTGCATGCTTGTAGTCCCAGGGGAGGTGGGAAGACTGCATGAGCCCAGAATTTCAAGGCTACAGTGAGCTATGATCAGGCCACTGCCACTGCATTCTTGTGTACCAGAGACCCTGTCTCAAAAAAAAAGGCAGTCCAGGCCCTTCCATGCTCAGAGTTGGACAAACCCCAGGCAGCCAGCTGCTCTCCTCAAACCCATAGTTCTTAAGCAATTTATATTTTCAAAGGGCTGCTTATCCTGTTTCATCCTTAAATGGCTAATCAAAGCTTTCTTAAAATGCAGTACTTCTTAAAATACTAACCAGTAAAGTTTATCTCAAAGACTTGCATAAGGAATGCAAATTTTTTCTCAAATAAGAAAATGTAAAAATGTTACAACAGGAAATGTTAACTACATACTTGCTGGTATATGCTAAATAAAATTCAAAACAAATATACAGACTCCATCTATAAATGCCACCCATTTTTTCACATGGTTCCTTCAAGTTTAGTGGCCCAATGCTAGCACTATCATCAAATTTCCAGGCTCTATTCAGTGCTCCAAGAAAGGTTCAGCTGTCTTACTGTAAAAAGACTTCAAGAAAATTGTATCTTAAATATAGCTGGGCCTTTAAGACTGCAACCCATAGGTCCCTTCCTAAAAAGGTGAGCCTAAAACAAGAATGGAGTCTTTCCTATCTTCATCACATTAAGGGAAAACAATTAAATATAAATTATCTGAAAATCTATCACCCAGAGAAAACCAATCCCAGCATTTCGGTGTAAGCCTACAAGTTTCCTAGACAAACACACACATACATTTTGCTTACGATAATGGGACCAGAGTCTACATAGTGTTTTACGACCTACTCTTTTCATATAATATACTTATTTTCCCATGTTAACAAATCCACAGCTATCCCCTCATTTCCCAGCAGTACAATATGCAATGGTATGACTAAACCTCTTCCTACTGGACTTCTGGATCGTCTTAGGTATCATGTTACAATCCTAAATGACCACCTGTGTTCACGTATCTGTTCTGCAGCTATTTGTTGTCAGAATAAATTCTCATAAGTGGAATTGCTATTTAATATTTTGGTTTCACACTGCTCAACTGCCCCTCTTGAAGTCTGATAACACATCCTGTCACCAGCAGCCCATGATAGTTGTCTCCCAGAAGGGAGCGCAGAGCTGCTCTATGAGATACTCTCCCATCAGAGGAAGGTGTCTACCCTCAGTCTCAGCACCTGGGCAGTGTGGACCCTGGAAATGTGCCCCCAGATGATAATATCCCACCATTACATCCCTTAGTCTCTAGCTGTGAACCAACAACTTGATAATAGCCTATGCCAGGTGTCAGCTGTTTCTAATCCATTCTTATCCATTTGTATGGAAACCTAGCTGCAACAAAATGCCTTTCATTGGAGGAAAACATTTCTGTGGCCATAGTCAGTCTAATTTAAGGCAAATCTGTCAATGAATGTGCTTCTGCTCACAGCTTATCCCTAACAGGGGTGGTATTCCTCCACCTTCTAACCTAGGGTCAAACTCCAGCCACCTCTCCTCAAAACTGAGGTCTATAATAGTTTGCTGCTTCAAGCTCTGGCAGTTGGGAGTTTGTAGCAAAGGCGAAAACCCCATGAAGAACTTACGTAGAAGTGAAAATGCAAGAAGTGGGCCAGTACTCTGGGGGCCACACCAGGGAAGGCAGCCAGGAGTGTCTGGAGATAGACCTCCAGATCCTTCTCCCTCTTCTCCACCAAACTTCTTGAGTTTTTCCCGATTATCTTTTTAGGTGGAAGCAGATTTTTATCAATCTTTTTCTCTGCAACGAGCTGTAAGGAAACACAAGCACGTCAACCACAGACCAAGGCAGTCTGTGCCTGCGTAAGACCAAGCAGTCTGAGCGATAGCATTCCTCACGATTTCCACAGCCCCCTCTAGGCAGCAATACCAGGATCAGTGATCAAATTAGTACACCTGGGATTTGGCCTCTTCAAATTCAATTAGTATTAGAAATACCAATACAATTCCAGACGAGGAATTGTATTCTGGAAAATTCTGGAAAATCTGGAGACTTTAGAGGCATCTTTTCCAAACCAGAATGAAAACCAACCAGGGCAGTGGTTTATCTTTAAAACACTCACAATGCAAATCGCCCAGAGATAGACGGTACTCTCCAAAAACAAGGAAAGAAATGGAATCACAGCCCAGATATTAAAGTGCAAGCTCTCGAATAGCTGTAGTTAGGTAGAACAAGTTCAAACCTGTCCCCTCCCCAGGAAACTGTTCTGGCATCTCATATCCAAGCTAGGATTGGCAATCTTCAAACAGAAATTCAAATATGCTCCTTGCAGATGTCTTAGACAGGGTCAATGCTAGCATTCTCATGCTATGTTAATGAATGCAGTTACATTAATAAACTAGTTTAGGAAAGAAGTGAACTCTAGGCATGGAGCCTGTTTTGTCCTAAATCTAATGTATGGCACAGTGGGAATGTGGTCTAAAGCCCCCAGCCCTGACACACAGGCTCCCACCTCTTTAGGGTTACCTTTTCATGCAGTTCATGGAAGTCACTATAGCGGTGCTTGACTGTCCACTCATGGCTGCCATCAGTGACCTGGATGATGTAAACCTAAAAGGGGAAAACCAACAACCCTTGTGGCAAGGGAGTCAGCCAGCAACAAGGAGTCTCCTCTCCCATAGCAATAGCTACAGGGTACTCAGATCCCCACCAAATGGCCAAAGTCAGCTGTCCTAGCCCACCAGCCTCTGCATCTGACCATGGCTCTATGCATCAATAAGAAAAGGAAAAGTTGGCTTGGCATAGTGGTTACAGTGCCGGCTGCATACACCCAGGCTGGCAGGTTCAAACCTGGCCCAGGTCAGCTAAACAACAATGACAACTGCAACAAAAAAAAACAGTCAGGTGTTATGGTGGGTGTCTGTACTCCCAGCTACTTGGGAGGCTGAAGCAAGAGTTGGAGTTTGCTGTGAGCTGTGATGCCACAGCTTCTACCAAGGGCGACATAGTGAGACTTTGTCTCAAAAAAAAAAAAAAAGAAAGAAAGAAAGAAAGAAATGGAAAAGGTGACTATGACAAAAAGCCACCTCTTTAGTGTTTTTTTTTTTTAACAGAGTCTCGTAGAGTACCATTCTGTCACAGCTCACAGCAACCTCAAACTCTTGGGCTCAAGCTATTCTCCTGCCTCAGCCTCCCAAGCAACAGAGACTACAGGTGTCTGCCACAATGACCAGTGATTTTTTGTTGCAGTTGTCATTGTTGGTTAGCTAGCCAGGAGCAGGTTTGAACCTGCCAACTTCTGTGTATGTGGCTGGCGCTGTAACCACTGTACTACGGGGGAGTCCTCTTTAGTTTTTTACCTTCTGCCTTCAGGTATTAAAATCCCAACCTGTGCAGCAGGCAAGGTCACACCTTCCAAGGGAGGCAGAGCAGGGCCATGTCTAGCCTGACCAGCTCCTCTGTTGTACTTTTTTCCAGGTACCCTGATTACACCCTGGAAGCGAGTCCTTTTCCTACCCCTTCAACTAGTTCCTGGCTGTGATTGCTACTGCTGACCCAGGAGGCACAGCCCCAAGAAGCCAAAAGAAGACAGCTTCTTGGTACCTTAACAGGAGGCAACTGGCCCAGAAGCTAAGGAAGAACTAAGTTCAAAACCTAGTTTTGTCATTTCCTGGCTGTGGCTTATGTGTCATTTATGTAAGTAACTGGGAGCCTAAGTTCCCTTTGAGCCTCCATTCTACCATCTTAAAATCTGATAGGTTTAAGGATCAAGCAAGGTAATGCATGTAAAATGCTTTGTACAGGGCCTGACATGTAGTCAGTGTCCAAAAGGTAGGTTTGTTCATAATATCCTACTTGGCATACCCAAAGACTGATGATGGGAGGGTCAACCTGGATCACCACTCCCTCCTCACACATTCAGAGAAGGGACTAAGCCCCAAATAAGGGAGCTTTCTGAAGGTGATTTTGTAGCTGAATGCAGCCCCTGGGTGATGGCCAGCCATCAGCTCAGAGACCTCGCCCCTCACCTGGACCAGGCCCCTTGATGTCCCTCCCTTCTTTGCGGCAAGCAGCTCCAGCCCTAAGGAGCAGCCATTTCTCCAGGGCTGGCCTGCTGCTCCAGGATCCGCCCCTACCCTCTCTTTTCTTCCATGAGGTTTCCCTCCCCTACCCCCAGGAAAGGAGAAAAGCACCTGAGATAAAGCCCTCAGGTGATTAGGATGAGGGACATCGGGGGTGGTGCGCAGGCTGGGCCAAGGCCCCCACCCACTCTCTGCCCTGTGGGAACAAAGGACAGGAGGCTGGGGGGAAGCTCAATGTGCCCCTACCCCAGGGCTAGTTTTTGCTGTGCAGCCCACCAGCTCATAGGCCTTGCATCCAACCCCATCCAGACTCTAAAGGGCTTCCGCTCCGACCCCCTTACAGATAGGAGGTACCCCCGCTTTTCTGTCCACTGTCTCCCCCATAGCCTTGAAGAATATGTGGGCGGCTTATTGCCCCACCTCGCCTCCACAGCCCAAAGCCACAAAGCCCTCTCACGTTCCTAAGGGCCTTTCAGCCCTGAGACCATCCCTCCTCATTTCGCCAAGGCTGGACACCACCCCTCTTCCATTCTTGTCTCCCATCGCGATCCAGATCCTTCCCGCACTTCTCAGAGAAGATTTCATCCACGACCCCAGGATCCTCCATAAGGGTACCTCTTCCTCCCCTTCAAAGCCTGTGGGGTCAGACCCTTTCCCCTGATTCCATCCATTAGAGACCCTCTCCTCATCCCTCTCCTCCCAGACCCCCTGTCACGGTCTCCCAGGTCGGTGCCCCTTCCTTACCTAGAGGATCTAGAGGGGTTTCACCTGATTTAGGCACTCTCTCCTGCCCAGACCCATTTTTATACCTAGATCCCACTCCCAACCTGAGCCTCCTTTTTTGATCGCGTGCCCTTTTCCCAAACCTCCTCCCCAGGCCCTGCAGGGAACCCCAGCTCTGGACCTGCGATGCCCAAACCCCTTCCCCAGATTCACCCATCCCAAGAGCCCTCCTCCCGATTGCGGGGCTCGATCCCTCCCCAAATCCCACACCCAAGTCGGACTCCCGGTTCCAGCCACCACCCCGTTTCGGGTGTCCGCATCCCCAGCACACCGTGTACGTGTCCACGAGCTCGGAGCCCACGACGCGAGCCTCCTTGGCCGGCTCGGCTTCCCGCTCCGGACCAAAGCTGCGCGCGGTGGCCGCCATGTTCAGGGCTTTGGTGCCGGTGCCGCCGCCGCCCGGCGCAGACAGGCAGCAGCAGGGGGCGGGGTCAGCGTCCCACCGCCCCCCGGTCCCCACTGCCCCCCGCCCTCGCCGTGCGCAGCGCCGCCATCTTGGCCCCGTCGCCTGCCCGCTCCCTTGCCCCTCCCCTCGCTCGTAATTGACAGGCAGGAACCAGGAACGATGCGCATGCGCAGGCCGCTCAAGGCCACTCTTGTATAACCCGTACCTACCTGCGTAGCATTGGTGGCCATTCCTCATGAAGCCCGGGAAAAAATGGGACCTCCAGGCTGTGACAGCTTTGATCCTCAACCCCTCGGTCCTCTGCAAGGGAGGGAAGAAAGCCTCGCGCTTCCTGGGCTAACCAAAGCATGTCTTTGTTTTGCCTGGCCTCAGTTCCTACAGCGGTAAAAGGCTATAATAGCTCCTCACTTGGCTGTTAGGCTCATTCCCTATAGGGCAGGAATGGGTTGAAGGAGAAGATAAGACTTGCAAAGAAAAGCAGGGCCAGGGTGATTCCAGGCCAGTTCTTAAGCTCTCTGGGACTCAGAGCTTTCTGTCATTTAGGTCTCCTGAGAATGAAGTGGATTCATTCATGCAGTGCTTGGCAAGCTACAGTACTCAAGGCAGGGAGCTGGTGTGTTTTATCAAGAGGGGCCTGTGCATGAAGTGGGTGTAGGTGGTGGGAAGAGTTATGGACTAGCTATTGGGAAGAAGAACCTCACAGAATGTCCTGCCAGAGCTAAAAACAAGGGAGAAACAGGCTGGCTCTGAATCCAGGAACTACATACATTGCTGGAATTGGGGATCTGAGCCCTAACCCAGGGGGAGACTGAGACCTAGAGGAGGGAGGTGGTAACCAAACTGGAGGATGAGTGAGGAGAGAGCCTGGCACAGATGAGGCAAGCACCCCTCTTGCTCTAAGCACAAAGCTTGTTGAATGACTGTGGATGACTCAAACCTAAAGTGGGCACTGTTGTCCTGGGGAGAGGGAAGGTCTGAGGAATGGCACCTCTGGCTGAAGAGCTCTAGATCACCCTGTCCTGTGGTGAGTCAGTGACTTCCTCCTTCACTAATTCCATAGCACTATGCTGCGAGCTTGGCATTTGGGGCTTCTCTTGGCAGGGCCTTATACTCCCAGCCTCTCTGCATGTTGCACCCCAACCCCACCCCTGCTGCCAAATCAATGAGATCTCAGGCAACTCACCACACTTTGGAGCCTCAGTTTGCCTATCTGGAAAGTAGGGGTATGGCACCCACCTCCCTGGATGGATGGGAAGTTGAACTGCTGTGTGTAAGAGCCTGCCTAGGGCCCACGACTTTGTATCACCCTGTCATGTCCTGGGCTCATGTTTTCATTCATTCAAGAAACCTTTTCAGGCCAGGCACAGTGGCTCATACATGTAATCCTAGCACTCTGGGAGGCTGAGGTGGGAGGATCGCTTGAGCTCAGGAATTCAAGACCACCTGATCAAAAGCAAGACCTATCACTACTAAAGATAAAAAAAATTAGCCAGGGCCGTCATGGGGACTCATGCCTGTAATCCTAACACTCTGGGAGGCTGAGGTGGTGGATCACTTGAGCTCAGGAGTTCGAGACCAGCCTGAGCAAGAGTCAGACCTCAATTCTAAAAATAGCTGGGCAGCTTGGCACCTGTAGCGCAGTGGTGGCGACATACACCAAGGCTGGCAGGTTTGAACCCAGCCCGGGCCAGCTAACCAACAATGACAACTGCAACAAAAAATAGCCAGGTGTTGAGGTAGGTGCCTGTAGTCCTGGCTACTTGGGAGGCTGAGGCAAGAGAATCACTTAAGTCCAAGAGTTGGAGGTTGCTGTGAACTGTGATGCTATGGCACTCTACTGAGGGGTATATAGTGAGACTCTGTCTCAAATGAAAAGAAAAAAGTAAATAAATAAAAAAAAAAATAAAAATAGCTGGGCATTGTGGTGGGCGCCTGTAGTGCCAGCTACTTGGGAGGCTGAGGCAAGAGGATCACTTGAGCCCAAGAGTTTGAGGTTGCTGTGAGCTATGATGCCACAGCACTCTACTGAGGGGACAAAATGAGACTGTCTCAAAACAACAACAACAATTAGCCAAGTGCAGTGGCATACAGTTGTAGTCCCAGCTATTCAGGAGGCTGAAGCAAAAGGATTGCCTGAGCCCAGGAGTTTGAGGTTTCAGTGAGCTCTAACCATGCCACTTCATTCTACCTGGAGCATCAGAGTGAGACTCTATCTCAAAAATAAATAAATAAATAAATAAATAAAACCTTTTCAGAGAGTCCCTTGAGGAGTATGGAGGACAGAGGGAAAGAAACCTTGTCATTGCAGCCTTTCATCTGCTCCCTTTCTTGGGCAAAAGACACATAGGACTCAGGCCAGCCTGAGATCACTGGAACCAGGGGAGGGGGAGGAGGATACTGCATGCAGGGGTGGGCTGGGCTGGGCTGGGAATGCAGCAGGGCAGGGCTATTTAAGTCGAGGGCTGCCTGACAGCCCTAGCAGCCTGTCCTGTGAACCACCAGCATGGATGACATCTACAAAGCTGCGGTGAGGGACGGGATGGGCCTGGGCAGGGCACTGGGAGCTCACTCGGCTCAGAATAGGGGGCAAGGTCACCCCAGGAAGTGGTGGGGACCCAGGAGAAGGTCCATGTACCTTCACCGTGGGCCATCCTTTTGGGCGGGTCTGGCATTTCAGGGTGCAGATAGGGTGGGGTGTCCAGGGCCTGGGGAAAGGAGCTGTCAGAGTGGGTGGGGGAGGAGGTCACTGCTATTAGCATCACGTCTACTCCTCCCAGTGTCTATGGTCTGTCTCTGTCTCTCAGTCACATTTCTCTGCATTTGTCTCTGGCTCTTTTTGCCTTTCTCAACTCTTTCCATCTCTGTTCCTCCAGAACTGTCTCTCTGAGTCCCTGTCTTCTGTCCCCACCTGTCATTTCTGCCCCTCACATTCTGCTTCTCACACATACCAACCCCCTTCAGTCCCTTGGCTAGCTAAAGATGCTTTAGAGGGTGAAAGGAGATATGAGGAGGGGGATGCAGAGTCTGAATGGTAGGCTGGGGAAGGGGCTTTAAAATTTGAAGCAGGCGGGAGGCGCCTTGTAGCTCTGTGGGTAGGGGGCTGACCCCATATACTGAGGGTGGCAGATTTGAACCCAGCCCCAGCCAAACTGCAACAAAAAGTAGTGTGGCGGGTGCCTGCAGTCCCAGCTACTTGGGAGGCTGAGGCAAGAGAATAACCTAAGTCCAGGAGTTGGAGGGTGCTGTGAGCTGTGACACCACAGCATTCTAATAAAGTGAGACTCTGTCTCAAATAAATAAATAAAATTTGAAGCAGGGAAGGACTGGCATAAGGGAGAGACAGGGACAAAGGAACAGAGAACTGGTGCCCCAGCCCATGCAGTGCTGGGCAGGCTCAGCAGTTTAACTGTGGGTAAAGGTGAGGGAGTGAGGGCTGGAGAGTGATCATCCCAAGTCCTTGCCTCCTGGGGCATTGAGAGACTTTAGTTGGTATTCCATGGTGGGGGGGTTGACCTCCTGCTCTCCCAAAGACAAAGATATCATGGCATAGACAGCTGTCCCTGGGGGATCTCCTCTCTCAGCCTCCAGAATGCAGCCCCACTCCTGAGCAGGGAAAGGCTACAGCTACTCCAGGAGTGCCCCTGCTTATCCTGCAGAAGTCCCGGCAGCTGGAGTGGGGGCAGCCCTCCACCAGTGCCCATACAAGGCCTGGCGGGGCTGGGGGCTAATTTTGGCTCTTGATGAAGCACCAGCAGGCCAGGGGGACTAGATAACACTGCCCCACCCACTGCATGCCCAAGTCTCCAGAACAATCACCAGGTTTAACTTTGTCCCTTGTTAAAAATAGTCCAGTGACCACACTGCTCGGGTTACAGTAGATGGCTTGTCCACCCCCACACTGGTTTTATTGTCCCCACCTGAGGGACAGCTGTCCCTCAGGCCACCCAGCTTAGGTTTCCTGAGGAGGGCCAAAAGGACATTGAGTGGTCACTGACTATTGTTACTCAGGGTCACCTTGAGCCTGAAGGAGGTGCCCAGCTGTCACTCTGGCCCTGAACTCAGCCTTAGTGAGGTCAGCTGGGTCACCTCAGGGCTTTGAGGGCAGGGAGAGAGGACTAAGGCCTCTGCTCTGTGACCTGGGAGTTGCCTGCATCCCCTTGCTTCAGTCTTCCCACCTGTGGAATGGGTTGGTTTCCTTGACAGCAGCTATGTTTGAGTTTGAGTCCTGAGACCCTTTTCTCCTCTAGGTAGAACAGCTGACAGAAGAGCAGAAAAATGGTGAGTTCTCCCTTCACACATGGGAGTGTCAGCAGGTTAAGGCTGGGGAACATGGTGACCCCTTACCAGAAGAGGCTCTCAGACTGGAGATCAAAGGCTGGTCCCTCTCACTGTGACCTCAGAGAGGTCTTGAAGGGGGTGGGCAGTTGGACAGGTGCCCCAGGGATCTGGCCTCCCAGGATTCTGTCTGCTGAGTCTTGGCTGTTCTGCCCCCACTCCTGCCATTGGACACAGAGTTCAAGGCAGCCTTTGACATCTTTGTGCTGGGCGCTGAGGATGGCTGCATCAGCACCAAGGAACTGGGCAAGGTGATGAGGATGCTGGGCCAGAACCCTACGCCAGAGGAGCTACAGGAGATGATCGATGAAGTGGATGAGGATGGTGAGCCCCTCTGCACCCCCAGGCTCCAGGTGTATAAAGCCCGGGCCTGCATCCTGGCTTTGTTTAGGCAGGAGCTATTTTGCCTCTTTGAGCCTTGGTTGCCTCATCTATAAAATGGGCATAATGACCACACAAACCTCACAGAGGTGGTGTGAGGGTGCAGTGAGAACACAGGGGTTTTGCATCCAAGGGACTACCCATGGTTCTAACCAGGACATTTCTCATGGCTGTGCTACCATCCCCCAGGCAGTGGTACAGTGGACTTTGATGAGTTCCTGGTCATGATGGTTCGGTGCATGAAGGATGACAGCAAAGGGAAGTCTGAGGAGGAGCTTTCTGACCTCTTCCGAATGTTTGACAAGTGAGCAGGTGATCCCTTACCTCTGACCCTGATCCTGACCCAAGTAGGACTGGGAAAGAGGGGCTATCTGATTCTAGATCTAGCAATCCTGTGGCCTGTTTCCAGTCCTGTGTGATAGGGGAGAGTGTGTTCCTGCTAGGGTCATGTTTTCCCCTCCCCCGGCCCTAGCCTGGGTTCTGAGGCCCCCTTCACCCTCCCCACAGAAATGCTGATGGCTACATTGACCTCGATGAGCTAAAGATGATGCTGCAGGCTACAGGCGAGACCATCACAGAGGACGACATCGAGGAGCTCATGAAGGATGGAGACAAGAACAATGATGGCCGCATCGACTATGACGGTGAGTAGTTGGATATCTTTATCCTTTGTGCCCTGCCCAGCCACAGCCTCTGACCTATGGCTGCCCCTCTCTCCACAGAGTTCCTGGAGTTCATGAAGGGTGTGGAGTAGATAGTCACCTTGCCAGAGCTTCCCATGCCCACCTTCCAACTTCAGCCAGGCCTGGGTGGTGAGCTGAGGCCTGTGCATGGCCTCAACCCCTGGCTCTTCCTAACTTCCTCCCAGCCTTGTCCTGGAGAATGCAAATAAAGCCTTGCTCCCTGGAGGCCTGGTGTCTGTGCTCCTGCTGACTGCTGTTTCCTTCCCCACCCCAGGCAGGCTGGTGCAAGGCCTGTGCTTGACCACTGCTCCACACCACCATCTGCAGGAAGGTTTAGATTAGCTCAGTGACTGCCACACTGCATGTCCTGCAGACTGTTTTCTATAACTGCTGATGTCCCGGCTCCATCTCCATTCAGCATCTAGAGTCTGAGGTGGCCCCAGACCTGCATTTTGAGGCATTTCCTTTGAGCTGCTGTTTTGGTCAGCCCGTGTGACAGCCTAGGGTCCTCTGCTTGGAGAGAGTAGTTAGCTGTGGTTTAAGGGTAGGTCCTGGGTGTCCCTGGCACAGCAATGCCTACTTCCTCTCAGCTCTGGAGTGGAGCTGAGCCCTGTGAGGGCCCAGCAGGTCCCAGCACTGGTCCACCTGTCTCCTTACCTACATTTCCTGCCAGCAGCATTGACTCCCAGGGACTGAGGGCTATTTAGTCTGCTCTATATCTCTTCTGTGAAACCGGTGAGGACTCCATGGCCCAGAGAGGTGCAGGGACCTGTTGGGGCATCTGGTGAGTCTCAGGGAGAGATGAGCCACCTGGCTTCCAGCCAAGGGCTCTGTCACATGGGCCAGGTCCAAATGTGCCTAATTTCTAGTTCCTGTGAACCTCAGAGGCTCAACCCCAGCAACCCAGACTCCCTCCCTGACAGGGAATAGAGGAGGCCCAAGTTCTGGTATCTCTCAGCTTAATAGAGGCACCCAATCCAGAGCCCCAGCCAGAACAATGATGCTGCCTTGGAGTGGGGGTTAAAGGAGGCAAGGAAGTGGAGGTGTCAGCGGTGACACTTGTAGGAAGGACAGCTGCCATAGGCACCCAGGCTCCAGCCAGAATACCAACAGTTGTCCTTGTTCCGCCAAGCCATCCTCCAGCCCCTGCATCTGTGCCCCAGCCTTGGCATTCCTCAGACAGGCCCAGCATTCTGGAGATAGTCTTGAAATTCTAGAGATGCCTCTGGTAGAGGCTGGAGCTGGCAGAAGCTTCCTGGTGCCTGGAGAGTCCTGAAGGAAGAGGAGTCCCCTCAGACCTCCCTGGAGAGCTGGAGAACTCAGGAACCTATAAAGAGACCCAGAGTGACCCAGAAGGATGATATCCAGGAGTGAAGGAAGGACTACAGTGGATGACATTGCAAACCAGTGCACCATTCAATGGTTTATTCACATACCTACCATATGCTCAGTATAGGGTTACAGGTAGAGCCTGTAAAGTGAGGCCAGATTGAGGCCCAGTCCCTAATCTCATGGACTCTGTTTTGGGGGGTGGGGTGGGGCTTAAGCCCAACCTCCAACTCTTGGGCTTAAGTGATTCTCTTGCCTTAGCCTCACAAGTAGCTGGGACTACAGGTACCTGCCAAAATGCCTGGCTATATTTTGGTTGTAGATGTCATTGCTATTTGTGTTTGCCAGGCCTGAGCTGGATTCGAACCCTCCAGCTCTGGTGTATGTGGCTGGTGCCCTTAGCTGCTGAGTTACAGGTGTCAAGCCAATCTCATGGACTCTTAAGAACGTGAGTGCAGGGAGGAAACTAGCATGGGGTTGGAATGGAAATTGTAGAGGTATGGTGGGCCCATGGAACAGAGTGTTCTGGGAACCTTCCTGGAGGAACTGACACTAAGTAAGCCTTGGGGAACTGCAGGGGACTGGCCGTGGAGGTTGTAAGGAAAGACCAGGAGGGTTTTGGGAGCAGAAGGGTGGTGGGCAGTGCCAGGCCCTGCAAGGCCAGTCCATGTCAGGGGAGATGCTGTCGGGGCTTATGGGGGAGCCAGGAGCTGACTCCAGACAGGGAATGGTTCTGGGTGAGAAGGCCTGGTGGCTCTTTGCACAGTGAGAAGCTGAAGAGAGAGGAGTGGGGTTGTGCATGGATTTGGGGCACATTTTGGGACTATAATAGGCAGAACTTGCTGCAGGCTTGAATGTGAGGGGTGAGAATGTAGGGAGTCAAAGACAAACCTTAGATTTTTGGCCAAACTGTCATTTCATGAGATATGAAAGCCTAGGGGAAGTAGGAAAGTAAAGTAAACTTACTAGAAAGTAAAGCTTACTTTTATTTTAGTGGTTTTTAGTTTTCTTCCATTTTGAAATTTTAGACTTGCAAAAATGTTACAAAAATAGTATAAGAATTCCCATTTGTACAAGACCAAAAAAAAAAGAAAAAAAGAATTCCCATGTGTTACTGGCTTCCCCAAATGTGTGTGTGTGTGTGTGTATGTTTTTTGTTTTTTTTTTGAGACAAGAGTCTCACTTTCTTACCCTAGGTAGAGTGCCATGGTGTCATAGCTCACAATAACCTCAAACTCTTGGGCTCAAGTGATCCTGCAGCCTCCTGAGTAGCTGGAACTACAAGCATCCACCACAACATCCAGCTATTTTTTAGAGACAGGTGTCTCACTCTTGCTCAGGCTGGTCTCGAACTCCTGAGCTCAGATGAGCCACCTGCTTCAGCCTCCCAAAGTGCTAGGATTACAGGCATGAGCAACTGCACCCAGCCCCAAATGTTAACATTTTAAATAACCACAGGACAATGATCAAACCCAGGAAATTAACTTTGACCCAACACTGCTAATTCATTCATCTTCTGCACTTAGTGAAGCGTGGTTAGTTCCCTCCTAAAGGCCTTTTCCTGGAACAGGAGTCAGTTCAAGTTCACATTAGTGTGATCTAATCACCTGTTTCCTACTCTCCACCATCCTGTGACAATTACTCAGTCTTTCCTCATCTTTCAGGATGACACGTTTGAAGAGCACAGGCCAGCTATTCTGTGAAATCTCACTCACTTTGGGTGTATCTGGTGTTTCCTCAAGACTAGATTCAGGGAATGCATTTTTGAAGGGATGATAATAGGAAAGATAGAGTTTTCTGTCTGTGTCAAAGTTGAGATGCCTCTGAAACATGTTGACAGGAAGGTCAAAGCCAGCCTGAAGCTAAGGGAGAGGGCAGAGGGACAGCTGTGAACATAAGTGTCATGAGGGTAAAAAGCCTTTTCTCAGCCCTTATCACAAACAGGGCCCCCAGGGAGAGTCTGCAGGGAGAGGTGGCAACCCACATGGGCAGTCAAGAGGGAGGAGGTATGGCCAGTGGGGTGGAAGAGGGCTCTGGAGGCCAGGAGGGAAAGAAGGAAGCATGTATGACAGCTGATGATCCCTAGTTCTGCTCCTGGGTTTGGAAGCCTGCAGCCCCTGAGGCTTGGTCCCCTAGAAGGGAGAATCCCAGTGGAGCAGTGGAGGAGGAACTGGGATACCAGGGAAAGGGCATGTGTGGGCCACCCAGGAAGCAGAGAAATGGCTGGAGCAGAGAGGCAATATGGGGTCCAGGGAAGCTTGTTTAAGGAGGGGGTAAAGGAAGGGCTTAAATGCTAATGATAACAACCCAGTGAAGTGTGAAATAGGCATTGCAAGATGCAGGGCAGCACTGTAGCAGGCCAGCGGTTATGGGCCCAAGTAGTGTTTGCAAGGCCCTGGTTCTAGCTCTGGCCTTGGATCCAAAATGAGCAGAGAGAAAAGGGGGCTTGAGGCAATGAGGGGCAGGTAGGCAGGTCTCCATGAGTGAAGGTTATGGCTGTGGAGTACTGAGGCACAGACAGTGGTGTGTAGAGAAAGTGGTATTCCAAATAGACGTGCACAAGATCAAGTCTTTGCTGGTGGTGACCTGGAGGGTGGATGGCTAAGGTGTGTGGGGGTGGGGTGGGGTGGGGGGCGGAATAAGTGGTGACTGGCAGTGAGGAGGATAAGGATACAAGATGCCTGGGGCACCTAAACACCTGAGGGGGGGGGGAAGTGGTAGGGGGTTAAGCCCTCTGTGAAGGACCAGGAGAGGGGCAGGGCCAGCTACAGAGAGGTGCTGTCTCAGGCTAGGGCCACATGTGCCTGGGTTGGGGAGAGTGAAGGCTATCAGGAAGGGCAAGCAGGGGAAGGAAGGCCTGCCTACTTCCTGGCTCTCCCTCCATTAGCTGGGGGGGGGACAGGGGACAGGCCACTGGAGAGGTAGAGGAGACGGATGGCCCTACTTGCAGGTGGAAGTTCCCGAGGACCTGTGGGAGGGTTGGGAGTGGGCAGGAGTCATGGAAAAGGCTGACTGGAAGGCTCACCCTCTGCAAGTAGGTGGGGCACACATGAAATTGTCCTAATATCTGTTTTTTTCAATGACATTTGGGGGAAGGGATTGGGGGCAACCATTCCTTCCAGGCATGACCACCCTAGAATTCTAGCTGGGAAAGACTGGGCTATGGCCCTTCACATACCCACCTGGTGGCACCTGCTGCATGTACATCATGCAGGTATAGGCCTGGGTCTCAGGCCCCCACCAGGACATGGTGTTTTGCTCTGTACTTGTGTCACCTACTTCTTTATTTATTTATTTATTTATTTTATTGAATTTATGTGTACATTGATGCACTTTGGGGGTACAGTGTGGTGTTTTCACACACAATCCAAGACACTTCCATCAAACTGGTTAACATAGCCTTCATGTAACTTTCTTAGTTATTATGTCAAAACATTCATTGTGTCACCTACTTCTGTCCAGACAGACTGCTGGGTTCAGTCCTCTCCCCTTCCTGTGTCACCTTTAGCTGGATGGTGCTTCCTCCATGAAGCTTCCCTTGTCTTCTTTCATCAGAAGCAATCACTGGAGCATCCCCCACTGCCCTACCTCTTTGTATAGTGCAGGTGTCCTCAAACTATGGCCCGTGGGCCACATGTGGCCTGCCTAGGGCATTTATCTGGCCTGCTGGGTGTTTTTGCCGCCTTTGCCTGTCTTGCTCAGCAGCTGACTCGTCCTGGAGCCCACAGTCCATCCCTCCAACAGTCTGAGGGACAGTGAACTGGCCCCCTGTTTAAAAAGTTAGAGGACCCCTGGTAGTGGGTGTCTGGTTACTGCCTGTCTCCCCTAAGGCTGTGGTCTTCTGTGCCACCCAGGGGTCAACACAAAGTGTTTTGCAGACCCCTCTTTGCCCACTAGATGGCAGACAATGCCTGCATCTGGGCACTCTGAGTCAAACATTTGAGTCTTTCCCATCTGCCGCTGGCAAGCGGTTCTTTAGGGAAGATCTTTACTCCTCTCCCTAGACTGAGAAATTGAGGCCCAGAGAGAGAGAGAGGACCTGACGGAGGCCACATAAGTTAACAGTAGAATTTGGACTCCCAGGCCCTGCCATAGGTTCTTCTTGTCAGTGTGGAGTGGGCTGCCCCCAACACCCTGCTTCAGTAGACCCAGCTGGGGGTCTGGCTGAGCTGAGCCCCCTAGGGTGGGCTGGCAGGCTGAGGAGTAATTGGGACTCCTGCCCACAGCTGGTGGCCACATGCCTGCTGAAGGGCTGTCCGGTTCAGTCTCAGTTAGACATGGCCCCAGCCTGGGCTAAGAGCTCAAACATCCCCCCAGGGAAATGAGGTGGAGGTAACTCCACCCTGCCAAGGTTGCAGTATATAATCCTTATCACAGTAGCCCCTGCACACACACTGCTCACCAGTTTATGTTTTTCTATTTTATTGTTGCTGCTCACTAGTTTATAAAGTCTGGCTGTACCCAAGGTGGTTGGTCGCTGGCCCTAGGAGGAGGAGACAGACCCAGAGAAAGAACAGCCTTGGCCAAGGTTCCCCAGCAGCAAAGGCAAGGGTTGGCATGCGGGTCTCTGGGAGGAACCCACCACTAATCTGGGTCTTTGGAAGGACTGGAGGCCTGAGGGAAGCAGGGCTATGGTAGGGGTCTCCCTTGGCAAAGGGTGGATCTTGTCCCCTGTCCCAAAGTAAGCCCAGTGAGCTCAGATGGGGCCTGGTAGATGTGAGGAGAGGCTGTGGGGTGTAGAGGCCAGATGGTGAGAGTCCTAGGTTGGGAGAGGCTGGGCATTCATTCACCTCTTAACCGGTCCCAGATTTGTGAAGTGTGGTCAGACCTCAAATCTCTGCTCAGGACATGGAATCCCTTGTGCTGGGAATGATCCCCTTACCCTCTGTAGGCAGTTTGGGCCCTGCCAGGATTGCTGGGGAGCCTGGCCAAGGTTACTGAAGGTGGGGCCATTCTGATATTGGGGACCTGGTCCCAGGGCCAGTTTGTGGGGGTCTCTGCCATGGGTACTGGCAGGGCAAGGAATAAAGCTGAGCCACCCACCCACCCATCAACCTCTAACCTCCCTTCCCTGACCACCACTTCAGGCTACCTCCCACCTTGTCACTTTGCTGGAGCCTGGGGACCTGCATTTGTGGATATCTTTCTGTACAAATTGTCCACAGCCCAGATGGGAAAGAGCCTCCCCCGTGGGAACTGGCCAATCTGACACAAAGGTGCCTACTGGGCCAGTCAAGGTGGAGGGAGAAGCTGCAGGTGGACAGCCTGGGCTCTTGCCACTTTCCCTCCTCCTCCCGCCTTCTAGGACTGGGTGGAGCCACTGCCTTATAAGTGGCTGGCCTGGTGGCAACAGAGCAAACTACAACCAGCAGCCGGACTGGAGGCCAGCTCTGCAGGCAGCAGCAGCTGTGCCCTGGGTTGCCCACCATGGCCCCCTCAACCTGGGCCCTCTGCTGCCTCCTGGGGGGCCTCCTGCTCTGTGTCAGCAGCCCCAGCCCCAGCGTGCCCCGCCTGCGGCTCTCCTACCGAGGTACTGGCCCCTGTCTGCCTTGTTTATGTGCATGTCTGTGGGCTTTGTGACACCCCCAGACAGCCGGAGGGGATGGAGCCAGCCACTCCCTGCACAACTCTAGGGAAGGGGGAGGGAGGCAGGTCCTGAGAGACATGACCAGAGTGGAGGGGTGAGAGCCACCCAGGGGGAAAAGCCTGGGGTGCTGCTGGGAGACCCTGAGACACCTCAGTAGAGATGGGGCAGAGGAAGTTGGGGAGGGGATGGTGGACTGGGCAGGCAGAGGGGACAGAAAAGTGAGTCTGAAGAGTCTGTCTGAGCCCAGCAGGCTCTTTTGCCCAGGGTGGTCAGTGGGACAGCATGCTGTCCCTCTGGTCCTTGAGCCATGGGGTTGGGGGACCTTCTAGCCCTCATCCTAAAATTGGGGGTTTGTCACCCCTCTTCCATCCTGGAAGCTCCGTATAGCCCATGAAGAGTTCTGGCCTCCCCTCTCAGGCCACCCTGGCCTGGGAGATTTCTCTGTGCTCACCTCGATGTTTTGTGCAGTATCTGGTACAGGCCTCCTCTGATGGGCCATGGGGAAGGGTCCCTGAGACACAGGCTCTAGGACAATTCTTCTTGGGAAAGTCAGAGGGGTGATCACTTCCTCCTGGAAACCCCAATTTGAGGAGGGGATGCATGCCTGGTGTGGAGATCCTGGGTGGGGCATCACTCCACCCCGAAGAGTCTGAGGAGGAATGTGATCCTATTCTAGCAACTGTGGTTCTAGGGGGGGAGTTCAGGCTACTAGAAACAGCCCTAAGTAGGGAAAGTTCCCCAAAGTACTGCCATCCATGGAGGGCTTCCTGGAAAAGGCTGTTGAAGAGTTTTGGGGGAGGAGTAGGTACTAGGCCAAGGTGGTTCTGTGGGGAAGGGTAGGATACTCTGGACAAGGGTGGCCATGTCCTCTTGCATTGTCCTACTGCTTGCCGCATCACCTCCACCTCCCCAACCAACCCCCAAGGACCTATCTCAGGATCCTCAACTCCTAGTGCCCCCAGACAGTCCCTTCCCACCTCTGGAGCCTGGCTGGGCAATGTCTATGGGGAGACAAACCTCAATGGCCACAGTCCTGGACTGGAGGCAGGAGATTCTCCTGGCCATAGCTGCCCTTTCCTATATCCCAGCTATTGCCTGGGGTTCCTTCTGTTGGGGGCTTCCTGCTCTGCCAGCCACACCTCCAACTGAGTCAGCTTGTTTGCTGCTCAGGCTCACCTAAGCCTCCCAGCACTTTGCCCAGTTTGCTGTCCTAATTTCTGCCTATGGCGCTATCTTCCTTGGGGACTGGGCAGGGCACAGATGGGACAGTGGGAAGATGTTGGCAGAGAGATCAGGGGCTAAAGGAAGGAGTGGCAGCAGTCCCTGGTGGACTGGGATGGGGGGGTGCTCAGAGCCTCCTACCCCATCCCTGGCCCATCCCTATGTTCTGAAAGCCTTCCAGCAGCTCTGTGGATGGAAACACTTTCCAGATGTGAGTGTGTGTGGGGCAAATGCACAGCTGGGACCCTCCATCTCCACTCCTTGGCTGGGAAAATAGGCTGAGCAGCAGGCCCTAACCTGCTCCCTCTGCCCCCTCCTAGACCTCCTGTCTGCCAACCGCTCTGCCATCTTTCTGGGCCCCAGAGGCTCCCTGGACCTCCAGGCTATGTACTTGGATGAATACCGGGACCGCCTCTTTCTGGGGGGCCGTGATGCTCTCTATTCTCTGCGGTTGGACCAGGCATGGCCAGATCCCCGGGAGGTGAGCTGGACTGATAGGGGAGAGGATCTGTTTGAGAACTGGGCACTTCCAACTGGGAGGCCAGCTGGAGAAACTGAGGCTGTGAGGTCAGGGGAATACCCAAGGTCAGCCAGACTGTGTTTCAGGTCCTGTGGCCGCCACAGCCAAGACAAAGGGAAGAATGCATTCGCAAGGGACGAGATCCTTTGGTGAGTGCTGTTGGGAGGGACAGTGCCCCAAACCAACCCCAACCACTGACCCCCAGGATAGCTGGTGGCCATGCCCCTAGGTGCCTCTGCTGAAGGGCATTAGGAGCAGATTCTGAGGGCTTTTGGATGTCTATCAAGAAGTCACCTCCGCCTCTTCTCCAGAGCTGGTCATCGGGTAGGGCTGAGCCTGAGAAAAAGGTGGACATCCCCCTCACCCCAAGCTACCCCCCTCCCTGATAGACTGAGTGTGCCAACTTCGTGCGTGTGCTGCAGCCGCACAACAGGACCCACCTTCTGTCCTGTGGCACTGGGGCCTTCCAGCCCATCTGTGCCCTCATCACAGTTGGACACCGTGGGGAGGTGAGCCTGTGATGGGCCCCAGAAGAGACTGGGAGGCCATGGCATTTCCTCCTGCTTCCTGAACGCTTCCTATTGAGCCTGGGTTGGGACAGAGGGGCAGGGGCCTGAAAGGCGTCTTTGTGCTGGGGAGCTGACCCCATCAGAGAGGCCCTGAATGAGGGTGTCTTCCTCCCTCCCATCCCCTACTAATTGCACGCAAGGGCCACTGCCTGGGTTTCTTTCTCAGTGACATCCCCCCTTCCCCTCCAGCATATGCTCCACCTAGAGCTCTCCAGTGTGGAAAATGGGCGGGGGCGGTGCCCACATGAGCCCAGCCGTCCTTTTGCCAGCACTTTTGTAGGTGAGTGAAGCTCCGGCTTAGAGGGAGGGAATAGAGGGGTGGAAGATTGGCTTCTGTCACTGGGGAGGGAGGACATGGGCCTCCTACCTTGACTCTGCCCCACACCCACCCCAGGCGGAGAGCTGTACACGGGCCTCACTGCTGACTTCCTGGGGCGCGAGGCCATGATCTTCCGAAGTGGGGGACCCCGACCAACCCTGCGCTCTGACTCTGACCAGAACCTCTTGCACGGTGAGGCCTGTGGGGCCAGGCTGGCTGGGGTCTGCCCAAGGGCAGGAGAGGAGATGCTGGAGGTGGGAAGACAGGCTACTTCACTCCAGTACCCCTGACTCCAAGGGGAGACCTCTGCCTTTCCCCTCCGCTCTGGGTTCAGACTCATCCTCTCCTGAGAGGCCCCTTCCTGCCAGTAACCCTGTCACCCTCCCAGAGCCCCAGTTTGTGATGGCCGCCCAGATCCCTGACAACTCTGACCAGGACAATGACAAGGTGTACTTCTTCTTCTCGGAGACTGTCCCCTCGCCCGATGGCAGCCCGGGCCATGTCACCATCAGCCGTGTGGGCCGAGTCTGTGTGGTGAGAGCAGTGAAGGGGTGGTGAAGTTTAAATCCTTGCTGCATCCCCCCTTCTCAGTTCTGTTCCCCCCACAGAGGTAGAAAAACTGAGGCAAGGATGCAGAGTTGATGCGATACCTCTCCTGCAGTGGGTGAGGGTGAAGGAGTAGGTGGTGGGGCCCAACCTCGTGAGGCCCTAGGCTGACTCTGGCTCCCACCCCCTAGAATGATGCTGGTGGCCAGCGAGTGCTGGTGAACAAATGGAGCACCTTCCTGAAGGCCAGGCTAGTCTGCTCAGTGCCTGGCCCTGGAGGTGCTGAGACCCACTTTGACCAGCTGGGTAAGGGCATAGCAGAGCAGGCTTGGGTGTTGGGAGAGCACAGAACCTGTGAGCAGGGGCATTGGCAATGGCCATGATTGAATGCTCCCTTCTGTGTCCCAGAGGACGTGTTTCTGCTGTGGCCCAAGGCAGGGAAGAACCTCGAGGTGTATGCACTGTTCAGCACTGTCAGGTGGGTACTCCCAACCTCCCCGTGCCCCACAACCCATATCCTCATGAGCTGCCACCATCATTCTCCAGCCCTGCAATGGGTTCCTGTCTTTGTCCCTGATTCAGTGACCCGTGACTATATTCTCACTCTCCCTCTCTGTCTTTGCCTTGGTGTCCTTGCTTTTTGGAGTCTCTGTTTGCTACAGTAACTGTCAACCCCTGTCCAGCCTGTGAAGGCCGGCCACCCCCTTTCTGCCTCTGATGACCATTCTGGCTTGACCATCTCTGTCTGCCCTTGGCAGTGCTGTGTTCCAGGGATTTGCCGTCTGCGTGTATGATATGGCAGACATCTGGGAGGTCTTCAAGGGGCCCTTTGCCCATCGAGATGGTCCTCAGCACCAGTGGGGGCCCTTTGGGGGGAAGGTGCCCTTCCCCCGCCCTGGTGTGGTAAGTCTCTGCCCAGGGTAGGCCAGGGAAAGGGGCCTGGGTAGATGCCAAGGGGGTTTCCTCTTTGGCACAGCCCCATGTCCACATGCAGCCCCAAAGCAGCAGGCAGCAGACCAGCCAGGGCTCCAGAGCATCCAGGTGGTCTGGGATGGGGAAGAACTCTCCCACAGCAAGAGCGGTGCCCCTGTCAGGGGTAGAAACCAGCTGAGGGAGGAGCTGGATCAGAAGCATCTGATCCCAGGGTACTTCAGAGCTCCCTCTTCTGCCCACAGTGCCCCAGCAAGATGACGACACAGCCAGGGCGGCCCTTTGGCAGCACCAAGGACTACCCAGATGAGGTGCTGCAGTTCACCCGAGCCCACCCACTCATGTTCCAGTCTGTGCGGCCTCAGCATGGCCGCCCAGTCCTTGTCAAGACTCATCTGGCCCAGCAGCTGCGCCAGATCGTGGTGGACCGCGTGGAAGCAGGGGATGGGACTTATGACATCATCTTCTTGGGGACTGGTAGGAGGGCTTCCTGGGTATGGCCAGGATTGAGCGGGGTGTGGGATGCTGGACTCCCCCTCCTCTCCCACTGATCGCTCCTCTCCTGTCCCAGACTCAGGTTCTGTGCTCAAAGTCCTTGTCCTCCAGGAAGGGGGCTCAACTGAACCTGAGGAGGTGGTCCTGGAGGAGCTCCAGGTGTTTAAGGTGAGCAGGGGCTGATGTCCCTGGGTCTGAGCCTGGCTACAGGGGAGCAGGAGCATGCACAGGTGGGAGCCGGCCTGTGCCGGCTTTACCAAACTTGCAGTGGGGGTGGGGTGCCGTGGGGGATAGGGAATGGGGGTGGGACACAGGGGTGGGGGGTCTGGAAGTAATGCCCCCCTAGGCAGAGGCCTTGTCGATGCCTTGGAGTGGCAATAGGCCTGCAGCTGCAGTTTGTGAACTGAAAGTGTCAGGAGGGACAGCCAAGGGGAGCATCCTTGACAAAGCCCTGCCAGATTCAAGTTGCAGAGAGGAGGTGGCTGAGACCTTAATCCCCCAGGGGCTCCTTGGTCCCTCTATAGACTCAGGCAGGGGGTCATCTGTGTTTGGGGGACTGCTGTGCCTCGTGGAGCTGAGCCTGGTGATTTGGGATAGCTGCCTCATTGCTGGGAAACAGGGGTGTGGAGGGGACTTAGGAGCTTTGTGTTTTTGGCCAAACCTACTATATGGAAGCCAGCCAGGACCAGGGGACCTTTCTTGTAACCTACTAGGAAAGACTATCTAGCCTTAGTTGCCAGGGGGTACATGGGCCAGGCTGGGAGCTTGGTAGCTTCTACCCCAGGGGGTGGAGGAGGCTGAAAGCAGAGATGCAGGGGAGGGTCTTGTGCCACCCACCCCACATTGAGACCCTGCTCCTTCCCCAGGTGCCAACACCCATCACTGAGATGGAGATCTCTGTTAAAAGGGTAAGAGTAGCTGCTACCCTCCCCATGCACCCCTCCTGTATACCCAGTTTGCAGCCCTGGAGCATGACCTTAGTCCGGGGAAGCTCTGTGCAGACTGATCAGCCCCTGCAGTGAATGGTCAGGTCCAGATGGGAGCTAAGATTCAAAGGCGTGAAGCCAGTGGGCACTGGGAGGCTCCAAGTGAGCTAGGTTGTGTTCAGATAAGGGGATATTCACAAAGACCAGTCCCTAAGGCAAAACTGTACTTGAAAACAAAATCCAGATTTTAAATCAAGCAAGGGAGCCCTTTTTTAGAGGCCTGGAGTATCTGTCAAGTGGCAAATACCATCTCCCCATTTATCTGCCTTAGTTTATCTTTAGGTAAATGCCAACCTTTGTATTGGGATTGCTCAAAGCAAGGTGCACCTCTAAGGTCAGAGGTAAGTCAGGATGAAGGCCTTTAGGGTAGAGGGCAAAGGTCAGCAGCAAGGAGATCCTAGAGAAGCCCCTCAGAGGAAAGACCCTGGGTCTGCCCTGTCCCATTCATGTCCTGACAGAGGACCTGGTATACAGCAGGTGGGTGATAAACACTTTATTTTGTGAATGAACCCAAGAAATTCTGGAAGAGTTCCTGTAAGTGGCAGAGGTCCCAAGAAGCCAAGGGGTCTGGGAACATGACTGCTTCTGGGCAAAGCCTAGGCTCACCCTGGGCTTTACCTATGTATCTCCCCAGCAAACGCTATACGTGGGCTCTCAGCTGGGTGTGGCCCGGCTGCAGCTGCACCAGTGTGAGACTTACGGCAGTGCCTGTGCTGAGTGCTGCCTGGCCCGGGACCCATACTGTGCCTGGGATGGCACCTCCTGTACCCACTACCGCCCCAGCTCCAGTAAGCGCCGGTTCCGCCGGCAGGACATCCTGCATGGCAACCCTGCCTTGCAGTGCCTGGGCCAGAGCCAGGAAGGTGAGTGGCAGAAGGGCAGGAGCATGGGCGAGAGCACAGGCTGGGCTTTAACTAGGCCCTGACTCAGCCCTGTGTCCTGGGCTCAACCCCTGGGAAGTGTGTTCATTCTCAGGCTGGTCCTGTTGGAACAGTCCTCAATTTCCCTATCTGTGAAGCTCCTGTCAGGGAATGGGTACGAGGTCTTTGGACATAGTGACTAGCCTGGGGCGTCATTGAATGCCTTGGTCCCTGTCACACTGGTGGGGGCTATGGGAGTCAGAGGTGATTTGCCTGACCTTTGCCTCTCTCCAGAGGAGGCTGCAGGACCTGTAGCCGTCACAGTCTATGGCACAGAGCACAACAGCACCTTCCTGGAGTGCCTGCCCAAATCCTCCCAGGCTGCCGTGCACTGGTTTTTACAGAGGCCAGGGGATGAAAGGCCTGATCAGGTGAGTGAGGACCCTGTCTCTACCCTCCATGGGTTCTAAAGTAACCACCCACCCTGAACCCCAAGTCTGAGCCTTAGAAAAGGGTTCTGGGGGAAATCTGCCAAGATTAACCTAAGAAAAGTGGCCAAGCACAGTGGCTCATGCTGAGGCGGGTGGATTGCCTGAGCTCAGGAGTTCAAGACCAGCCTGAGCAAAGCAAGACCCCATCTTTACTAAAAGTAGAAAAAATAGCCAGGCATTGTGGCAGGTGTCTATAGTTTCAGCTACTCAGGAGACTGAAGCAAGAGGATCGCTTGAGTCCAAGAGGTTTTTGGTAACTGTGACTCCACAGCACTTAATTCCAAGGCGACTGAGTGAGACTGTCTCAAAATCAAATAAACAAACAACAAAACCCTAAGAAAAGTGTGCATTCAGCCCCTGGGGTGCCTAGAAGGAGGTGACCCTATTTCTACCATCTGAGAGGTAGGCAACAGAGATGGAAAAAAATCCCCCATGCTCATACTTGTGGCTTATCCTTGAAGGGTCTCTTCCCCAGGCATTCTCAGTCTTCCTCTGCCCCAGACCTGAGTCTCTGTCCACTGGCTCTTGCATCCCCAAAGGCTGGCCCCACACTTCCTCCTTAGAGTCCAGCTGTCTGCCCTGGTTCTCTCCTCCCCCATCTGGAAAGGTCTGTCAAACCCAGAGATGGCTTCAGTCTGGGGCCTGAGGATGGGCGTGGGTGGGCCAGGGCTAGGCACCACTCCCCCACAGGGAAGGGGAGGGGAGCTCTTCTTCCAGCTTGGGAACTGGGGGAGGCCAGCCTTGGGCCAGCTGTTGGGCTGGGCACTGAGAAGACTCCCCCAAGGGAGAAGGCAGCAGGCAACAAGATGAAGTTACACAACACCAACAGTTCAAGTAATCCACCCTCAACATGCAGACACTAAAGCCTAGACAAGGTTCAGGCCAGAATCAGATTGGGATCAGAGCAGTGCTCTTGCCTCCCATGCTGTGATGGGTGCTCAGTCCACCCTGGCCCAGGGGGCTTTGCTTACTGTGAGGGCAGTGAACGTGCAGGCCTTAGACAGGGAGGGTCAGTGTGTTGGGGATGAGAGTGCACAGCTGTGTCTGTACATGTGCTGCCTAGAGACTAGTTCTGGGGCTGGAGGTACAGCCCCTCCCCTGAGTAAAGCCTGTAGATACACTCTTAACCCCTCTGCTCCCTGGGAGCGTGTGATAAGGCCAAGATTGGTATTCTCTGACTAGGGGAGATATAGTCAGAGGAATCTCTGAAAGGTCTTTTGCAGGCCCCCTCCTGGGGCTATGGGAAGATGAGGCCCCACCTGCAATTAGCCTACAGTCTAGAGGGGGCTGAGGCTGCCATGCTGTTGGACCCCTCCCAGAAAGGAACAAATGGGCAAGGGAGGTACCCATGCACTGGGTCCCAAGGATGGTAAATTTGGCAAATCGGGGGATAGTGAAGCTGATGGTGCATGTCCTACCCCACAACCCGGCTCATTCCCTCTGCTCACCTGGCAGGTGAAGACGGACGAGCGAGTGCTTCGCACAGAGCAGGGGCTGCTGTTCCGCAGGCTCAGCCGCCTGGATGCGGGCACCTACACCTGCACCACGCTGGAGCACGGCTTCTCCCAGACTGTGGTCCGCCTGGCTCTGGAGGTTATTGTGGCCTCACAGCTGGACAGCCTTTTCCCTTGGGAGCCAAGGCCAGAGGTGCCCCCAGGCCGGGGAGGCCTAGCCCAAACACCCACCAAGGCTTGGTACAAGGACATTCTGCAGCTCATTGGCTTTGCCAACCTGCCCAGGGTAGATGAGTACTGTGAGCGGGTGTGGTGCAGGGGCAGCAGAGAATGCTCAGCCTTCCTCCGCAGCCGGGCCCGGGGCAAGCAGGCCAAGGGCAAGAGCTGGGCAGGGCTAGAGCTGGGCAAGAAGGTGAAGAGCCGGCTGCAGGCCGAGCACAACCGGACACCCCGGGAGGTGGAGGCCACATAGGGGAGGGCAGGGAAGGGATGGTCAGGATGGGTCCAAGGGCCCAGTAGCAGCTCCCTACATCTCCCACCCACCTGGCTGAGGCAGAGGGGGCCAGGATGTCTGATCCCCTCTTAGAGATGGGTGTCTCTGCCCCCACATTCCTATTGAGCCACCTCCAGAGAAGACTGGGGGCCTAGTGGAGGGCACTGTGCCTGAGCCTGTTCCCCACTCCTCTGTGCTCTCAGTCTCAAGCTGGAGCCAGTACCCTCTGGCCACTGGCAGCCCCAAGGGACCTGCCATTTGTTCTTAGAGATGGCCTGGCCTCTGAGCTTATTTCCGGTTGTGCCCAGAGGCAAGAGGGTTGGGTGATTCTTTTCCAGTCTACAGAACAATGGCCATTCTGAGTGGCCCTCAGAGGGGGTGTGTGGGTGGGTCTAAGGGGACATCTGGGCAGGGAGCCCTTAGGCAGCCATAGAGGTAGAAGTGGTCTCTAAGGCAGCACCTGTTAAGAAGGGACTACCCAATGCAGGAGTTGGGGAGGGAATTGGGGGTGTTGAGAAGGTGGAGCAGCAAGACTTTCTTGACTCATGTTGTGCCTTGATACCATGATGGTTCTGTGGCATGGCTCATCACTTCTCCATCTCAGAATTCCAGAAGTGCAGACTGCTAGGTCCCATCCTGGGACCTGAGGTGGTCAGGGCCTCAGGCTCCACTTTGGGCCAAGTTTCCTGGGATGCCCACACCTCCTAACACCCCCCTCCCCACCATCAAGTTCCCCATGCTGATGAGGAGGGAGGAGTGGGTTCCAGGGGAATATCACTCCTCATTTCTGTGGACTAGAGGTGGGAGGAGGAGCTGGGGAAGTGTGGGGCTGAGAGGAATGAGCTGTCTCCCAGGGCGATGCAAGCACATGCCAGCCCTGGGTCCCTGGGAGGGTGATAGCATGAAGGTCTGTGAGCTGCAGCTGGTCCTCAAGGTCAGGGCCAGGGCTTTTGTAACAGATTCACAGAAGACTGGGAGGCTATCGAGATGGAGGGCAGGAGACCCTTAGGATGGCTCTGAGACACAGGCAGGAATAGGTGTCTTCAGGGATTCATGATGATGTTAATTAACTCAGGAGTCACAGAGAAGGCCAGAGGTCACCAACTTTGGGACCTCTATTTTCTCCAATAAGAGCTAGGCATGGATGATTTATTTAGAAAGACTTTTTTTTTTTCTTATAAGGGGGAAAAAAACAGAGAAAAAAGCTAAGAACTTTGAGTCCTACTGATTGTGGTGAGACTTGGAAGGCAAGGGCACACTCTTCCTGGGCGTGTAAGGGAGGTGTTTTGCCATCAGCAGTTTCTCAGGCTGTGGGGAGCACAGAGGGGGAGGAGGAGCACTAAATGAAAAGTTGTTCCCAGCCTTCATAAGAACAGATTAGTGACGCACAAAACTGTCTAGTGAGAGATAGGAGCATAGGGTTTGAGATTCTCTCTGTTAAAAAACCAAGACAAAGAAAGGAGGAAAAAAAGAGATAAAAAGCAAGACAGGGCTTCCTGTCTTGCTGAAACTCAAACCCAGGCTACCCTGGGTCTTATTTTCCCATTAACCCTGACACCTTCAGAGGACTGAAATGTAGAATAGCCCTCCTTACCCTTTGATTGTGCAGTAAGTGGACCAAAGGCTCTGAGGTGAACCTAACAGCACCTTAAGACCCCTTCTGAGCTGGGGGTACTGTCTGCTGGGGTGTCATTAGATAAAGCATAGGAGGAAGGAGGAAGGGGGCTAGAGAACAGAAGGGAGGGCAGATGAGGGCACAAAAGAGGGGAGGAGAGGGTGCAGGGCTCCAACAGAGCCAGAAAGAAAGAACCAGACCTTCTAGTGGCCCTAGAAAATGAAGGGAGATGAAGCACAAGATCCTGAACAGCAGATACCTGAACTTGGAAGAATCAGACATCTCTCACCACACCTACCCCCCATGGTACTGTGTTATTAACTCCTAGAAATGCCCTCTGTGTATGAATTCTATTTTTGTATTTGTATGTAGAGATGGGCCTTGTGGTTTCTCTGTTTTTAGAGCACACTTCTTGTAATTACTGCTATTATTTTTATTGTCTTGACTTCCTTTGACTTCTGGTGAGGAAAAGGATGAAGTTACGATTTACATCACATAATTATAACATTATTGTATCTGTGTATTTCTGTACTAAATTGACTGGTGCCATCTATATGAGCTGGAAATGAAGCACCCTCTCCATGAGGAAGAAAGTCACATTGAGTGGTATTTTCTAGAAGGAAGGGACATGGGTATGGGAGAGGGAGTCAGAGGGCTTCCTCTGTGAAGCTGAAATTGCTATTAAATTAGGAAAATCCTGCCCTGCAGGCTTGTGAGACTGAACTTCTTAGAGTTTCAGTGTGATCTTGAGCCAGAAGAAAAAAAATGCTGGCAAAGGGCAGCTGGGCACGTAGGCAGTTCTGCTCCTTTTTCACAACAACATTTGACATTTGTAACAGCGACAGTTGGCCTGGTTCCTGCCTTCATCCCAAGCCACATACCAATGAATATTAAAGCCACTGTGCTCATTCCTGGTTTCCCACGGCTGTGCTGTGGGGGCTGCAGCTTCTCGGGGGAGGAGAGTTCCCGAGAGCTTGGTCTTACTGGGCATGCTTCTGAGAGCCCCTCTAAATGTGAGTCCCACTCACCTGGTGACATCTTGCCCTCTGCCCAAAGGGCCCTCACTGGTGCTGCAGGGAGAAGGAAAAACCACAGGCCACTTTAAAGATGGGAGACAAATTGCCCCATCTTCCCAGGAAGACTGCCTTGGGCCTCTTGATTGAATGGGGCCCTCAACCCATGTGGCAGACTAGGGGTCAGTCATCAGTCCCATCTTGTGGCCCCAGCCCTGGAGACAGCCCTTCCCTCTTATTCCCTGACAAACACCAGGACTGACAGCGCCTGAAACCCTGTTATGTCACTCCACCCAAAGCCATCATCACTACCAACTGAGAAGCATCCTCAGAGCAGAGTGATGGGCTGGGAGGATATGCAAATGTGGCCTCCACAGCCCCCTTCTCCCCTCGAGCTCTACCTTCCTGGGGATGGCCCACCCATCATTGCCACCCATGCCTGGAAGACTCCTCTGGACCAGACTTGTCCCTGCCTACCCTCTCCCTCCCGTCTGGAGCCCCATTTCCTGTCTCAGTGATTTCACCTTCTCTCTATCATCCCCTCACAGCTCTTTCCTCTAAGTTGCACACTTCCTCTACTCTCTGGGCCTCTGTTTCATGATTTCCCAAACAGGTTTAGAGCTGGAAAGGGTTTGATGGTGTTTGTGAAGCAATAATCACATCAGATCCTCCACGTCTGGTGGTCCCTGTGGTCAAATAAGTTTGAAGATTTCTGTCCTCTTGTCCCCCATGGAGCAGTAAGCTGCCTCAGTATATTGCCTAGTTGCTAGCCCTTGAAGGCCATGAGTTCTGTGATGATCTCTAACCAGTTAGCGTGCCTATAATGTGCTATATGGTTTTCCAAAACATTTCGCTCTCTATTCCTTTTTTTTTTTTTTTTTTTTGCAGTTTTTGGCCAGGGCTAGGTTTGAATCCGCCACCTCTGATATATGGGGCTGGCGCCCTACTCCTTGAGCCATAGGTGCCACCCCTATTCCTTTTCTTGATCATGAAGCAGGTAACATCTCATGTCTCTTAACATTTTGAAGAGCTCACTTTGGAAAACTGCTGATCAGATTAATTCTCTTCCTTAACGCATGAGATTAATTTATTAATCTCTGCTTTCTGAGCCTGTAAACTCTGGAGGCTCTGACCTCCCAGATGGAATAGCCATGTCTT